TGTGCGGCTTGGTATTTTCTTGCCAAGACTTTGCGAACAATTTGCAACGCTCCATGGTATGAATGTCTCAAATGAGACACTACACAGAGACCTTGACATTCCTTACTTGCGGGATTATGTCAAGCTTCAGGCGCAGCGATGTTATAGTCAAGCGGAATCGCACGGCAACCCTCTGTTGCGTGACTCAGTGGACCACACAGTGGAGCAAGTTCGTAAACATTCAAGGCCATGGCTCGCACAGTAATAAAAAATTAGCGCGAGCTTTTAGTAAACTCAAAATTACACTCTAGCAAAACCTGAATCAAAATTTGTTTAGTTCACCTCAAAATTAATCGGTGTATCAAGTCAAAAAGCCAAGGTGTTTTTTCTTAAACTAAACACTTCTGTTTTTCTTTTCTCTTCTCCTTTTTTCTTCTCTTTCTCCTTGACACTGTCTAGTTTCTGGGCAACCAGGACTGACAGATTCGCCTAAGGTGCATTAGACAGTGACTAATGGGCAAAGGTCCTACGGACATTGACATTGATTGGGATGTCTAGTAGGCTCAAGAAAAACCCTAAGAACAAAACACAAAAAAGTGTGGATACGATCCTGGTTGTTACACGGCAGAAACAAAAGAATGAAATAATGATGGCTGGTAGCAGAGGCGCTGAGAACCGGATAATATTTATCTAAGCGGACAATAGATATCTTCTGTTTTTCAACAAAGATAGCGCACCATCACGATCTATTGTCGCAGGTTGAACGCAAGCTGCCGCATGCCAGAATGCCGCGTTGCCGTCATGCCAACCGATACCGCGATTGCCGGACCGCAACGGTCTCTTTATAATGTGTGCCTTTTCGTTTTATACTAGAGCTGTCGTACAGTCCAGTTGTCGGTGTATAGATCAGATGATTGGTGGGACCATATAGCAGGCCTAGGAGGTGGAGACTTATGGAGGAAATCCCCGACGATCAAAGTCTGTCGGCATCTCGGTAGAAGAGAGCCAGGTCACCGATGGTAGAGAGGCTTTCTGGAATCTGTTAAGGGTGTTTCATTGGATAGCCCTCTGAATGACATTAACCATAGTCAGAGCAGTAATGCTTCAAACTTGTCAGCCGTATACCAAGCTGGGTCTTCACTGAGTCTTGTACAGTGCTTCCTAGTTCTAAACACCTGCTGCTGATCGACTTCGTGTGTTTGTGTATCTCATTACTTTACCTGAACTCCACCCATACTCAAGGCTCCTTATTTCTTGGGAGCGTTATAGAACGGTTGATTATATGGGAAGGCAGCCTTTCAGCTAATTGGCAGTTTTTGTAACATCAAGCGTAATGACGTGAAACTCACAAACCGATTATATTAGCTTACGCTACAATTGTGTGACATAAGCTGCTGATCCAGAGAAGGTATAGAATCTCCTTATTGATGATATATTATTCGAGTATTTTAATTACCATTGGAATCGGAGCTGTAAGCCCGAAGTTGTCAGAATCGATCTTCGATCCTTATTTGGTGCAGGTGACACTTCGTATACAGGGTGACTTTGAAGTTGAGTCATTAATTTTCAGATAATGATTGTAGAAGGAAGATAAACCAAAATATGTGTGTAAAAATAAAAAAAAAATAAAAAAACAAATGTTACCTTGTTTTATAAAGTATCCTCCCGACAAGTATTTCAGTGCGGACCTGTATTTGATCGTGCGGTCTTGGAGCACCGGCATGCCCTCGCCTGTGAGGTCTTAAGTCACCTGATTCACGAGCCCTTTGTACTACATTAACAAAGGCACGAGGGGTTGGTTGCACTCGATTGGGAAACCGATCCGCATAAATCCGTGATGCCGCGGCAGAATTTTGTAAATACTCCCCCCCCCCCCCGTAAATAAGAATCATGTCCACAAGTTCAGCATTTTCGTAAACATGTGCCATTTTTGATTTCGTTTGAGCCACGCAACAGACACCACTATTCACTCACGCGTTACCGACTGACACTGACTGTATACAACTGAATAAAATAATTGTAAAAACATCGTTCCAAATTCTTTCGCTTTTTTGTTTCCGATGCGATGAACCGATAAGGCGGATTATATCCGTTGTTGCCAAACACGAGCATATAATATTATTATTGAGACAGGGCGGTACTCAAACTTCCAAAGGGCTATAACTTTGTTACTTTAATTTTACCAGAAAAATGGTAAAGGAAAAAAACATTTCTTTTGATCAGATCTACTCACTGTTAAAATAAATGACTCAACTTCGAAGTCACCCTGTATAAACTTTTAGCCTCAGGGCAAAATGCCAGAGTTGTTATCAGAATTATAGAAAACTATTTGCTTATCCGATAAACACGCGATAAAAAGAATCATGCTGAAACAAAAATATACCATCAACGGAGTGCCGCAGGGAACTATCCTCGGACCATACCTGTGGAACCTATACGTTGCTGATCTGCCCGTAGAAAATACGATACCTTGCATGGATGGCCTCATTAAAGAAAGAATCCTTAAGGCTAATCGAGCAGCTTACGCTCGATCGATATTGCATTTTCAATCATTGACTTTTTAAAAACACCGAGGAAGATAAATCAGTGAAGCAGATTTTTTTCAAAGTAGATCATCCAACCAGCCAGCGATGTCATATCCAGTCCCCAAAAGTCAACCCTGTGCACTATATTTCATAATGATAATACTTTGTAAAAAGGTTCTATCCTACGTCCCTTATCCCCTCCGCATATTTCACCGCTTTCCTAGTACATACGAGTATACACATTATATTTTTGTTGTTCATTGTTTATATATAAGCCAAAGATATCTTATGTAAAGTAATCTATATAAAATAAAGGTTTCAGATTGAATTGAGAAATGATGTGTCATTTGGATATTGAATAGACAATAACGTTTCCTTGAGAATGTCCAATGGATGATTTAACATTTGCAGTTCACAGTTGTCAGTACATGAATTGAAATTAGCAAGCTTTACAAAATGTTTGAAATTTTCGACTACCAAACGTTTAAATTTTCCAAAATTTCACTATTCAGTTTCCACATTTTTCAAAATTGCGACAACTTTCAACTTGTCAAGATACTCAGTATTTAAAAAATTACTACAATTTCCAGAGTTCTTAATATTTCCATCATCAAAGAACTTATTGAGCCTAATTTTGTATAGTAAGGATAAAAATCAATTATCTAGTTTGACTGACCTGTTAAAAACCTATAATGAGAAAAGATAGGTTTTAGGAGCTAACCTCCATGGATATGTTGATGGATTGGTAGAAATATATTCTTTTTTTGAATTATCTCTCTCAGGTAAGTAGTGACACTATTATTTTCAATAAAAAGCTCTTATGCACTATTTCTTCGTATTCTGGGGATTTACGGGTGTTAAAACGTGCCCTTTTTCTAGTTGACAAAGCTTTGGCATTTACTTTTCCGAAACGTAGGCAATTTGGTAAACAAGGACAATTTTATATATCAAAAGAATCCGAAGAAATTAAAATTACATATCATTCTTTTTGTATCATAAAATGCTTAGTCATTATAGTCATATCAATCTAAATATTGTAACAGATTTGGTCAATGCTTCGAGTAGGCAGCAGCGGTGGCCGCAGTAGTAGACTCTTCGGTCTCCTGATCAGTCGCCGTGCGCTGTGCGGGTTCGAATCCCGTCCCAAGAGAAATTTTTCTCTTGGCTATGGATGTTGTAATTGTCCGTAGGTGGTAGAGGGTTTCTGACTGTCGCGCCCAGAGGTACCACCCGGCGGATCTCGTAGGTGGGGCCAGAATTTGCGCATGTTGCATGCACACGTGTGCCCTCGCCAGAGTCCGTGTGGTCCTTTCCCCTGTATCCCCCCATAGCCCCATGGTACCCCATGGGTGTTTAGGCCTTAGGCCTTCGTGGTGGTTAGAGTATAAAATAAATCCCGCTTTTTGATTGGTGGAGGTTATGCCGTAGTCGTAATGTTTGTTTTCGGGCCCAAATGAAAGAATAGGTCGTTGTAGCTGAGTCAGGTGATTAATGAAGTATTTCTTGACTTCATATGGAAACTTGGGACCCATCCATTACCGGAAACATACATTCTTAATGCTTAAGTTTGTGCCGTACGTGTAATTTTGCGCCCCAGCTTAGTAAAATCGGTCCTGAGTGTTGGGAAGATCGTCAATGGCCATGGTAGAGGTCGATCTGCTTGGCCCGCATGGTTGTCCTCCTTAGTCTATCAGGCAAGACGTCAACGGGTGTGACCATAGCGCTGGCGACAATTAAGGCCATCTAAGTGCCGCTCCGTGTCGGTCCAGCGGCCAGCCCATCGTCCCATCGAGCTGACAGCCCAGTCGATCCCGCCTGCCCATTAATGAGTTATTGCCAGAAAAGCGTAAACAATAAATCGCTAAACAGCATTTCTCGAAGCGCGGCCACAATGGCAACCAACCAAGCATTCACATAACTCTGCGCTGGAAAACAATGGGCGAGACTGCTCGGTCGGCAAAGATACCCTGATAGAAATCTGTACCGATGTTGCGGGCATTTTTTATTTATATAATTATCAATTATTGTTATTATCTGGAAACCCACACGTTTTCGCTTTGAGATAGCGACAGGCGATAGGGCGAGAGGAATCTGAAAAAATCAATTTTCTATGTGGGTACGGCCGAATGAATTATTTGTGCTGGTAGGTGATCATCAGGTGTTAAAGTGGATGACGGATAAAGGAATCCGAGGTGGAATGCATCTCGAAAACGTTCGGTATTTTAAGGACTTGCGGCTATTGGTATCTGAGATATTGGTAGTTTCCACAACTGAACAAGGCGTTGCCCTTTAATTGATTTATGCGTTTTCGGAGAGATATTTTTATTGTGGCGAGATTAACAGTGGTAGTGCTGGAGGCGGCTTGATGAACCAAAAACCCATGGTGGCAAACTGCGATGCGATGCTAATAAAATGGTAGATTCGAAGGACCTCTGAGATACGGAATACGCACTTGAAAAAAAATATTCTGAGTGACAAAAAAAGGATGCGGAAAATATGAAGAAAGTGGCACGAATACGCAAGTTGTTCTATGCAGAAGGATTGCAGGTAAGAAAACTGGCAACAACTTTCCGAGGGTTGATTACGAAGAAATTTTTTCATCCCACTGTCAGGTGTCACGAGCTTGAGGCTTGAGGAGCATTTCAAGGAGATCCGAAGCAATTTGAGATTTCACCAAGGAATTTGAACCGAGAAACCACGAACAGTTGATAGCTAAATGCAAATATTATGCTTTCTGTAATGACTCGTTGAAATTGACAAATAGCCTTCACACAAATAGGTCTCAGTGAGTCGTAATTAATACAGACTTTTCGCCTGAACGTTAGAAATCCTCGAGAGTAACCACAAGGCTCAGTACTTGGACCGCTGCTGTTTCTCTTGTATATATCCGACTTAAATAAAATTGTAAAGTACTGCAATATCCAATTTTTTGAAGACGATTCATGCCATACTTTAGCTTTGATCACAGTAGTATGAATTCTGCTGAATTTCAATTGTCAGAAGATTTGAAATCTATTGAAACTTATGCCGCCGAACATAACCTTCAGTTAAATCCATCAAATTGAGGATTCAGCAGAAAACTTAGGGGTGTTTTTTTGACGAAACCTTAAGTTTGTACCTCACGTAAATAAAATTAGTAAGAGATGCTTTGCTGTCCTTCGTCAATTACATTTTAACAGGCAAATACTTAATTTTATAACTAAAGAAATTCTATGCGAAACTATGATATTGCCAAAAATTAGTTACTACGACTCATTTTGCAAAAAAATGAAAAAATTCTGTTGATTAATTTTTAACCTACGAAAGTATTATCGCATTAGCTCATATTTTGAGCAACTGAACTGATTGAATGTAACAAAACTATTTAAGTTTCACTTATCATATTTTGTGCACAAAATTCTATCAACATCTTTTCCTCCATTGTCAAAAGATAAGCTAATACTTTGTGGATGTACCCACTCAAGAGATATTCGTTTTGTGAATACGTTAACCACACCTGTTTGCAAGACGTTATTTTTCTATAAGTGTTTTACTTATAATTCCATTATACCTACTATACAGGGTGTCCAATAAGTACCACGAAAAACTTAAGGAGAAGGTAGGCTTTGGACTCACCTCCCAAATATCAAATACTCACCTATATAAAAGTGTTTTTGAGATATTGATTTTTTTCTTAAAATTTAAAAAAACGAACCTTTTCATCTGTGGTCTTTAGCTGCATGTGCAAATAAGGTTATACTTTGTTAATTTTTTCTATATACTACTTCTAGATAGTTGCTTTATCATATGCAAATGCAATGTAGTTAAAAGATATTAAGGAACCATGATAAAAAATAATTCTTTCGTATCGTTAGTGACTCGAGTCCGAATTTCAGTAAGATTCATAAAATCATATCAGGAGCAGGTAATAATAATGTAGCTTTGTCCTATTTAGCATGTTTCTCTAAATTATGAATATGAAGGTCCTCTTGTAGGTACTGTACTATAATTTACACATCTTATTCTATTTATATATTTTTGATGATAATTTATTTTTGTTAAGGGTTAAGTGGCAGAATAGCTATCAGCTGAACTTCGCCCTATTAAATATGATTTATTGTTATGCAAAGAGAAGCAAGGAATCCAAGGATATTCAAGAAAATTTTTCAAGTATGCTGTTAACCGTTTGACTAGCTGCCATTTTCTCTTTCTAATTGCTCATGAATAAAACATAATGTTAAAGTTGTCCTCCTATGAAGCGTTTCTATTGATGACTATTTTTAATTTTTGAGCTGTGCATTGTTAATGCTTATCGGTAATTAGTGTTTTTTATACATTTTCTGGATTCCTTGTCTCGAACAAAATCTCCAACTTTGTAAGTCGAGTTCAATGATATTGTAATCGATCGAAATTGTCATATGGTTATCTTTGTAGTACGTTCGAAAAAGAAAATAAACATTTTCTTAAACTCGACATGAACAAAGAACATCATTTCATTCTGGCTTGAATTTTTGTGCATTGTGCAACAAGCGCACGTTTGACGCCTTGTTTGCTAATTTTATTGATTTTTCGGTAGATCTCATGATTTATCTGATGAAGATACAAACAGATCAGAAGAAATCCAAGGAAACCTAGAGTAATTCAAGGGTTTCCTACGAAATCCTAAGATATCCTTTGAGCCTTACCACGTTCATATCAACATAGAGCTACCGTTAAGAAAACTGTGCAAAAGGGTAGAAAAACAAAGAGGTTCCATTAAAAAAATTGAGTTGTTTTTGTTTATAATTTTGTATCAACATCACGCAAAGTCGCGCAGGACGCTTAGGTTAAAGGTTTTAGCGGCCACTTTTCTCTTTCTTTTTGGTTGACCAGTGATCATTGAGCTTATGAATCTCACAAGACTGGATTTTATTCCATTAGCATCATTTTATGATAACTATTCATCACAGGACAGTAGCCAGTGAAGCACCAACTTATATTCCCCTAATAGAAAATCTGTTGGCGCTCCTGTTGTTTTAATGGATACAAACACACCAAAATAAAGAATGAGCATGCACGGTGGCATTAATAAGCTTTTCCAGTGCCAGATGCGTAGCACGAAATGAACTAAATGCTAATTAGAGCTCACATTTATTACTTCGAAGAACTAAAGGTGCGTGAAGCGAAATGGTTATTTCGCTAATCTTAGCGGAGACATATATTGTTTATTTTTGTAAATATTAACGTGTGCTACAAGGTTATTTTCAGCCTTTGTCATGTGCCATTTTGATTTTTATAATATTCAGTTTTTATAATATATATTCTTCGTACTATTCGTTATTTTGAGCAGTTCCGTTTCAGTATCGAGCTTTTTTGTCTGTTCCCATAGCAACTCCAAAAACTCTGTTTTTTTTTAAATACAGTTACATTTTCAATTTGGACTCAAAACTGCTCAAAATCGAGATATCTTGAAAATGTGTCATTTCGGCTAATAACAGCCAGATCTATAGTAAATCGTAGTTTTGGCCATGTCTTGGCTCGTTCAAATCTATTTTTCTGGTTGACTATAATGACGACGAAATAAGATACTTCATTAGAAGTATTTAAGACCGACTTTGGGACAGAAAATTAGCCGCTTAGGACACCCGTTGAGTCCAGCGAAAACTTCCATCGATTTTAAAGCTTTGCATCTGATTTATTCGAGTATACGGCAGATTATATGGCATCGTTTGGAATAATTTTTTCAAAAAATATGATATGATATAACTCTGCTCACGAATTTACACAGGAAACCATTTTTCACCCAGATCACAGCAAAGGCTAATCAAGTTTCAATACAGATTCATCTCGGAGCCAAGGAGAGCGTAGATTTGCTTTTTGGAGAATGAAATATTTTTTTATGACGTGCCTTTCTTCCAAAGCTATCATGATGGGAGGATAGGAAGCAAATTCAGAAAGAAAAAATGACTAGATACAGTATACAGATAAATAGCCCGAAAACGCGGCCAAAATGCAAACTTTTGTTTTATGTGAACAAAATTTGGTACACATGGGTCTTCAAGGTCGCTGATCGACTAAATAGCGGGATCAAAATGCCGGTCTATTCTCCGTTGTAACTATCCCATTTAAACAAAATATTATATCTATGAGTTCTTGAGAAAATTAAAATTTTGTACCTCTGCGTATTTACAGCTACAAAATGCCTTCCTGTACAGATTCCTGGCAGTTATAAGTTTTCATTAGCAGCAGCGTTGTAACAGCCGCAAAGTAATGAACGTGCATCTGATGCTACGGCAGCCTCCATGTTCTAACTTCATTAAATTCTAACATGTACTCTCTTGTAAACAAATCCTTTATCATCACTTTGCTTTCTTCATTTTGCTTCCCGTTCGTCAACGTAGGCTGCTTATTGCTAATGGTAATAATAGCAGCAGAGCTCATTGGATTGGTTACAACAGGTTTGACGTATTTTTCTGAAACTTTCCGTGCACAAGAGAAAAAAGCAATGCAATCGTACGGACACCCTACTTTGATATAATACGACTTTTATTTCAGTTCCATTCACAGTAATTGTATAGCTGGTGGGTTGTCATATGTCAAATTGTTTTTCGTTTTCAGTAGCTTCAGTAGCTATTATGTAGGAATTCAAGAGATCGTTATTTGCTGGGTGTGTAATCATAACATCACCTAGGAAACCTCGGACTGAAATATTTGTGGTTATGGATATTAATGAAAATAACCAACGAATTCGAATAGATTAGAAGGAGCCAAGCCTATATGTTTACATTGTCGCCAGAATTGCGTAGTTTTAGTGCATCCTTATGACTCATTTATATACCAATGCCCACCAAATTGACAGCGTTGTATGAACATAATAATAATACTTACTGGTGGGAACATCTACATTCATTAGGCTTTTGCTGCACTTTTAAAAAATAACACTAAATATTCGAATTTGATGACGGAAATTTACTCATGTCAAGTGCACTTTGATTTTCTCTACGGACTATGAGAATGACAAACAAATACTCGACTGGATGCTTCTACCTAATCTGAGTTCGTTGAAAATAACATATTTAGGTTAGGTACAATTTGAATTTTCAACAGCTAAATATTTCACCTCTGCCAGGCCTCAGTTGACCCCACGTGCCTCAGATTTCACCATAGAGAGATCGAGACCACGCCTATACTTCACTATTAGCCTGATAATGTTTCCCTTTTTGTCCAACGCGATTACAGGTACGATCAACAATTACGAATTGATTAGTGCTTTTTCAACAAAGTTTGTTGGTCCTGCAGAATAGGAAGCTGGTGCCTTTATTAACTTCTGATGATTTGCTTCCACCGTTCGCAGAGTCCGCGACATCCTTTTTTTATACAGGAACAGTCCGCTTGTTTTATCTAGATCCTTATAGTTTGCAGTAACACTGATAAACACAGGATGTGTGACATGACAATTTTTGGGTGTATCTCATGTATTTTGAGACCCTTAAATCAAATCTAAAAACAGATTTTTTCTATTATTCGTACCCACAGATATTCGGTAACATCTACTTTTATGAATTACAATACGTAACATCTCATATTGC